ATTTGCATGATAAAATATCACACTAATAATAACAAACGATACACAAAATTTCTCAACTTAGCATTTATTGAATACTGACTGAGTTTAAATATAAACTTAAATAACAAAAACACAATACATGTTGTAAACAACCTAAACTTATAAACAATAAAAATAGCAGCATCAGAATGTCTTTAGCAGCAAACTCCTTCTTCAGCTCCCAGGCTCACCAGCCTGCTGCAGATATCACACCTGGCTTTTTGTGGTGTTGGACTGGTGAAATGCTGCCATACAGGATTAGATTTTTGTTCAGCCATCAGACAGCAATTACTAAAACAGAATAAAAAATGCAAGGTTAGCATTTTTATTATAGTTCCTTCATCTTCAATTCATTCTACAATTCCAGTATTCCATGCACATTAAAACAATTACACTGTAATACATTTTAAAAGAAAAAAAAAACACTACGTGCGTCATGGTATGATGAGTAGTGCACAAGGCCCAAAACCTTTCACTAATATGTTTATGTTAGCAGACAGAGAGCTTACAAGCCAAATTCACAATCAGAACCTAGCGAGTGCAGAAAATAAAATAAAATAACTTTGTCGTATTACACAGCCTTGTATGCAAGGACAACATAAGCCCCTAGTGATTGTGACGTTGTCGACGTATGAGCCCATATAGGATAGACGTGTTTAATGAGGAAACTAACTGCGCAAAGTCGTGCACTTTTTATCTAGACTTCTGACAAATTGTTCAAATCTCCGCTCTGAAATGCAAAAAAAAGTTGCACAGAAGGACCATTGTCAGCATCAGCTCAGGTGAATGGTGACCACGTTTTCGAACAAACAGTTTTCTCCGCTATGCATTGTTCTTAGCAGCTCTGTGTCTCCGAGGACGGCGCTGTCTGTGATCGGGGCAGAGTAACGAGGCATTCACACACGCTGCAGTGTTTGAGAGCTGCCTGCTCCGCCCCACACACACAGAGTGAAACTCTCCGACACAAAAAAAAACAGAACCGATAACATCGGGCTTATATGGTAATAATTAAAAAATTTTAACGATTAAAAAAAAACGTCTGAGCCCACCAACAAGTGCACAAAACTAACAGAATCAATGATCCTTAATATTACCTGTAAGCTACAGTAGGTTGAAGGCTCATTATCATTACGCCAGTTCCCGACAGCGTAATTCGCGTTCTCCTTCAAAAGCGCTCGCGTTTTCTTTTAAAGCAACATTTCATAGCAAACCAGTTAAATAAACAGGTCATTGAAAGATCAGAATTTAAGCCTTACCGTTTTCTTCCAGGACTCTTCCAAAACTTGTGGCTGGGGTCCTGCACAAGGCAGCATGGGTTACGTGTTCCACAGCAACAATAACACTGGGCTGCCTGCAGACGTGCCTGTCTGTAAATCGGTGTAGTGCACTCGGATATCGGCCGATGCCGATACATTAAAAAATGCTAAATATCGGTCGGCCTACATATAGTATGTACTGCATTACCATCTAAATAGTATGTTTCTAACAAAATTCAGTACATACTGTGTAGGTATGTGGTTTCAGGTGCACCCTGTGTGTGGGGGCTGTCATTTTTTTTGACACAAATGGCGTTTCGACTGGGCTTTATCCAATGTGCCATTTTTATCTGATCCCTCCTGGCCGCCTCTGATCATCGAGTGCCTCCACACCAAGCTATTGGCAGTCGTCATGACTATCAGAGGATGCTTTACACAGCAGTGTTTGGTTCTCATGCCCTCTTTGGATGACAGTGCACTTTGTTTTCGTTTTAAACGTGCCACACCCACTCCCATGACCATGCTGACTGTAGCCTTAAACAATAAGTGTATGTGAGAGGGAGGAGAGAGAGAGAGAGAGAGAGAGAGAGGGAGGAGAGACCTCCACCACCACCTAGGCTGTGCAGTTAATGGCTTTAATTTAGCTCATAGCTGCTGAACTAGACAAACAGGTTGGAAAAAAATGGAAGCTTTTGAGACTTGTAAGCAAAAAAAAAAAATGTAAAGAAAAAAGACTCTGATACTGGGTCTAGCTAAACCTCTAAACACTGGGCATGTGCACTGTGCAAATGTACCGGTATTAAAAGGAAGTCTTTGTTAAATTTGATTAATCCGTTAACATGTTTGTCTAGTTACAGGCACGTGGCAGCCAGTCATCATCAAATAATGTTTTGTGTGCTATGAAAATTTATGGAGATTTCCAGGTATAATTTACTTGATGACATTGTCCCAAGGAAGTGAAACTTTATAAATCTTGCATGATTAACAAAGACCAGCCCCTTGTGTTTTTCTCAGCCCTGGCTTCCTGGGAAATACTCTTCCTTTTCATTTGTGGTTTAACATCTGTGCTCTCCACCTGTGCCATTGTAACTGTGGCAGATTGTCAAGGTCTTGTAGAGGCAAGCAGCTGGGTAGTTAGCTGGCTGGCTGTTGGAGACCCGGCCGTAAGACTCCTCAGTGAGGTCTTGGACGGTTTTATGGGCCAGAGTCCCTGTGCGAGGACTGTAATCACATTTCTTGGATTTGTTCAGGTCGACTTTGAGGTTCCTCTATAGGTGAGCACAGTTGTGTCGTCCTGCTGTGGGCATCTGGGCGTTCACCGTTAGCATTAGCCGTATGGGATCCCCAGAAGTTGCCTGGCGTGTTTGGGCCCCAAACTCGGCGGTGGTGCCCGGCTTGCTGCTGGCTGTCACACGAGCCTCCTGCCTGCGATGTGGTGACCCTGTCAAAGTATGTAATTAACACGTCTTCACTTGCATGGTCTGTGACACTCTCACACTGAGCTGGGCAAGTTGTTATGCAGAGAGAATTAATACTACTTTAACTGGAGCTTTGCAGTAGGAAGAGGGCAGAATATCTGGTTTTTGAGGTGGTGAAGGAGGGTGTGATTTCACCCCCAATCCCTTCACTAGCCTGGTCTTCCATATCCTGTCAGGCCATTGATCTCTGATACCAGCCTGGAATGAAATGGGTTGCACCTCAAGGCTGCTGCAGTAGCCAGCTGGCAGGGGGGGGGCTCCCTGCTTCTGCATATATTGGCTGTATTCGAATTCAGAGGCTGCATCCTTCTAAGGCTTCATTTGATGTCTGAATGTGACTGTCCCATTTCGAAGGCTCCTTCAAACGCAGTCTAGAAAAACGTGGCCACCCGTTGGATGGAAGCAGCCCCTGAATCCAGACACGGCCATTGCAGAGCTTAACCCTTCATTATACGACCCCTATGCAGGTTTCAATAGCGCAGTCAGGCTCGGGGTGGGGGCGCTGTTTTTAAAATGACCCGCATATCTGTTGTTCTGGAGCTTGTGGGTGTGCCCTGATATTACGTTGGCTGACGGTGATTTCCGGGGAGGGATGCTGCTGATTGTGAACCTGACAGTAGGCAGCAGCTGGAACCTCTGTTTGCTACTCTGTCCTGCTCGCCAGCCTTGGCCTAACCCCCCCCCCCCCCCACGCCTGCCATGCAATGAGGCGACTGCACACACCCCTTCGGTTTCCGCCCTTCGCCCCTCCCTGGTGAGGATTGCCGGCCTTCTGGCTCCTATTGCCTGACAAACCCTTCCTCAGATGAGGCTCCCCAAGCCGCATGAACGACGCACTTAGAACTGCGCGAATTTCAGTGTTCCGTTCTTTACTACCGGAGTCCAATTAGAGTCCACACAGATATCTGGGCCCCGCCCAGGGAGGGAGCGGTTTTCATTCAAAAAGTGTTAAATAACCTTCATAGTGCTGCCTTAAATGTAAGGACTTATCTTTTAAATGGAAATATTTATTGGGGGCCCCCTGGGGCGGCTCAGCCCGTTAAGAGCTGTTAACAAGCACGGTCACGGCCCTGTTTCGGTTCAGCGTCTGCACCTCCTGTGCTGGTTTAGTGTGCTGGTTTCATGCTGCGTAGGGGGCCAGGGCATCTTAGAGGGACCTCTAGTGTCCATAAGTGGAAGCACAACAATAATGAATAATGCCGGCAATACTCAGAGCACTACCCTCAACTACTACAGTATTACCACGTATGGATTTCTGTGCTAAGGGGCTTTCTTTTTCCTGTGGTGATTGTGTGTGATGGGAACCAAATGTCCCCACAATGTGACAAAACCTGTTTTTTTTGTTTTTTTACATTGCGGGGACCATCTTGTATTTTGTTTGGTTACTTTGGGTAGGGGTTGAGGTTGTCATTGTTGGGATTTGGGCTATGCCCATAGAAATGAATGGATGGGTCCCCACAATGATATGAATACAAATGTGCGTGTGTGTGTGTTTGTGTCCTGGGCGCCCCCTACAGTCATGCAGTGCCACGCACTCCAACCTTGATGAAACTCTGTTCTCTCTCTCTCTCTCCCCATCAGCGCCTCCGTCCCGGCGTCCGCTGCCCAGGTGGTTCAGCAGATGCTGGCGGCTACAGCCACGAATCAGGCCAAACGGGTAGGAGCTGGTTTGCCCCGTCCTCCAGCTTCATCTCCTAGCAGTGCCGCACCCTCATGTTCTCTGCCCCGTTCCTCATTACAGCGTAATCTGTGTGGTTGATCATAGCCTGTCAAACTGTCCTCATAATTCCAAATTACTCATTTGCCTATATCTTTTTTTTTTTTTGATTGTTCTTAGAATTCCGCCCCTGGTGTGAAAGTGTCTGGCTCAGCAGGGGAGAGTTCATCCAGTTCTCAGCCCATCTTTGTCTTTGGTAAGTTTGGCTGGAATTGGGACTCTAACAACAACATGGCTTATTAACTGGAAAAACTAGTGGCAAGCCGCTACATTGTGCAACCATTGAAGTCTGGATGGTGATAGTGTTCGGGGCTACTGGTGTGCAATGGTCAACTCTGCAAGCGGTTATGAGCACTGAAATCGGTTTGTAGAGCCAAAGTTTCCTGTTCGCTTTTCCTTTCAGTAGCATTTGACCAGAATTAGCCACAGTAAAGAATGTCCAGCTATGGCATGTATACCATGGAGTCTCATTCACGCAGCCCCCCGCCTTCTCATCCCGTCTGTCAGGTGGACCCCCAAAACCGGAAGCCCCTCCATCTCCTGCATCTACTTCCACCCCAGCCACCGTCTCCGCCCTCAATCCCGGTGCTGAGCAGACGGGCAAGGTCTTCACTTTCTCTGCCATGTATGTACTGTTGGTCGTGCCCTCTTTGATGGTTCACATTGGCACGTGGAGATTCTCTTCAGAAATGCATAGATCAGGGGTCTCCAACTCCGGTCCTGGAGAGCTACTACCCAGTAGGTTTCCTGTCCTACTTTGCTTCTGATGAGCCGCACCTGCTCCTGGTATTTACCTGAGAACAGGTGTGGCTCATCAGAAGCCGGGTAGGATAGAAAACCTACTGGACGGTAGCTCTCCAGGACCAGAGTTGGAGACCCCTGGCATAGATCTTTTTCCATGTCTTGTATTTAAGATTTGGAGGACAATTTGGTAGAAGATATTTTAAGTTAATTGAGTCTTTTTTGCATATTTTGTTTAATATACAGGCCTGCTGGTGGATTTAATTTCTCGCCATTAAGTACCACAACACTGACATCACATGGAACTGGAGCGCCTCTAGGTACAGTATGTCTGTACTGATGTGAAAGCTGCTCTTCATTGGGTTAAGACCTTAAGGTTATGGAATGATGGATAAACGGGCTTGTTTTTTATTTGACAGGAAAGGATGTGAATCCATCAAACAAGTTCTCCTTCGCTCCTGGCAGTGGGAGTAAGTTGGTATTTGCTCCGGAGGCTCCGTTCAGTCTCGTCCCCAAGTCCACTTCCCCCGTTCCCGCGTCCACTGGGTCTCCCGCCATTTTGGCCGGTGGCTCCGGGGAGCCTGCTAAGGCGGCATCTGCCTCGGCCACCTTGAAGACGGAGCCTCAGATGCCCAAGTCTGGCTCGGCTGGGGAGACTCTGGGCAGTTTCTCGGGGCTCCGGGTGGGGCAGGGGGACGATGAGCCCAGGGAAGCCCCCAAACCCGCCGCCCCCACGTCCTTCTCATTCGGTCCGACCGAAGGGGCACCTGGGACGTCCGCGTCTGACTTCAGCTTTGGGGGCAACTTCCGATTGGGTAAACCGGCGGAGCCAGCTGGCTCTGCAGAAGAACTTGCATCAGGGGACCTGCCTAAGACTGTCACGACCATATTTGAGGGCGACACGGTAACTACGGCAGCTCCTTCCGGGGGGGTTTTCAAACCACCTGAACCAGGCCCCCCTGCTGCCGCCAAGTCCTCCTTCTCTGTGACGCAGCCTGAAGCGCTGGCCCCGGCTTCCTCCCCCACCTCGTTCGCAGACCTCCTCGCAGCCCCTCTAGCGCCCCCTGCAGCCATGGATGCCCCTGGCACCAAACCCCCTGTGACAATTTCTGAGACCCCTGCAGTTGCGGAGATCCCGAAACCCGCAGTGACCACACTGGACAGCTCTGTCGCCTCACCTTTTGGGGATGTCGGCGCCACGCAGTCATTTTCCACCCAAGCTGTCGCCGCGGAAACCGCCATCCCTGCCGCCGTGCCGGAAAAGCCCTTAACTCCCCCGTCCCCGGCTCCCTCGCCTGTGCCCGCAGCTGCCCAGAATCCCACGCCTCTTGTCGCACCCCCTCAGGCAGCCCAGACCCCAGCAGCCGAGAGTGTCAAGGCCACAGAAAGCCCAGTCACCGCGGCACCAGTCACCGCGGCACCAGTCACCGCGGCACCAGTCACCGCGGCACCAGTCACCGCGGCACCAGTCACCGCGGCACCAGTCTCGGCTCCCGCCCAGCAGGGGGTGTTTAGCCAGGCTCTTGTGTCTGAGAAACCGGGCTCCATCTTCGCCCAGCCAGTGGTCAGCACCAATTCCACCACCCCAGGCGTCGGTGCTCTCACCCCTGTCGTTTCCACGGCGGCGCCGGACACGACCCCGGCTCCCAGTCTGGGCTCCACCACAGCCGGCGCTCTCCCCACCACCACCTCTGTGTTTGGGCAGCCGGCGAGCTCGGTCAGCACCACCACCACCACTACCACCACCACCACCTCCAGTGGCTTCGGATCTAGTGGATTCGGTGTCGGGACCTCTGGCTTTGGGAAGCCCGTGTTCGGGCAGGTGGCCGGGTTCGGTCAGCCTGCCACCGGCTCCTCCGGTGGTTTCGGGTTCGGCCAGCCGGCCTTTGGGTCGAGTCCCGGCTTTGGGCAGACGGCTGCTGCCACTCCGGCCTCCAACAGCGGAGGTGGTCTCTTTGGATCGTCCGGCTCCGGAGGTGCGAGCTCCTTCTCCTTTGGGCAGATAAGTGCCAGTAACAGCAGCGCGCCTGGCGGCACCGGCCTGTTCGGACAGAGCGCGGCGCCCGCCTTCGGACAGCAGAGCTCCGGGTTCGGCCAGGGATCCGTCTTCGGCAGCAGCGCCCCGACGACCACCTCCTCCACAGGGTTTGGCTTCGGACAGCCTTCCGGTAAGTCAGCGCATATGTATGTCTTTGCCATGCTGGCTTCTGCCACTGGTTTGGGAAAATGTCTTCCTCAAAACAAGCTGTAGTTTTTTTTTCTTCAAAAAAGGGAAAATTCTTGAACTCTTTAATAATTTAGACTTTTTTGGATTTTTCAGAGTGCTTTTAGGAGTCCTTAATTGCACTGTGGCTAGCGTTGGTAGGAAATCCGTCTGCAAGCTCTGCGGTGAAGTCTGAAAATCGCTGTGAAATCGGGAAGTTCTCTTAGGAAGCCGGATTCAGATGCGTTTTCTGTGCCCCGCCGCTCGGAGATCCCCGCCGACCGCGTAGTGCCCGTTCTGTTTGCCGTGATGCGCTCCCCTTAGTCACCATCGCACTCCTCTGAAGTATCACAGGCGGCTCTCTGCACGGTTACAACTCTGCTGTGGTCAGCTTTCATTTGGAAAGGGAGACTGGTGATTAGTGGCACAGCTGAACCCGGATCTGCCCCCCCCCCCCCCGGCAGTTTGATTCACAGGTGTCTCCTCTCTTATGCCGCATGGCTGCTCACTTTCTGCCCAGAATGCTTCAGCACGCTGGCTTGTGACTAATAAAGCATGTATTTCATTAGTGCTCACCTTTTTCCCGGGGGGGGGGTTGGAGAGCCACAACCGGTAGTGGTTTCTTTATTATATTTAAAATATTTAAATGCATTTAGAATGTGGTTTTAAGTGTTTGTGGTTATGGTCTGTTGTCGGGATACTAGCACGCTCGATTGTTTTTCCTGGTTCGACTGCTGAGGTTTACAGTTAAGCAGCACCACTCAACTGTAGGCTGGTAGGATCCTTGTAATCAGCCATAAGTTTGTTCTGTTCAGTTTGTTCTTTCAGTTATTGCCCAAAATTTCCGGCACATTCGGCATCCTTTCTGAGGGTGGTGGGGGGGGTGCCCCTTTTCACAGTCTCCAAAGGGTATAGGGAGCTCAGGCTTCATAGAAACGTCTCCATTAGGAAAAGCATTTGTGCCCATCTAATTGAATGATGGGAAATGCCCTCATCAGCAGCATTGAGGTTTGTCTGGGACTTTGACATCCCCATCTTTCAGACTTGTCTAGTTTTGTTCCTGTACTGTAAATAAATGATTGTTCTTGTATTGTTTTTGGGCTGATAACATTTGACGGATTGAAGCAACCTTGTGTCATAAGGGACTATTTGATTGATGGTGTAATATCACTAAAGAGGCACTGTAGTCTTCATATATGAGAAGGATGGCCATGTAGAGCCATCCTTCAGGAGAGTTCCTGGTTTTGGCTAGCCCAAATCCCATGCTGGAGTATGTGTGAGCTCTGTCGCCCATTCAGAGGTCATGGGGTTGACCGTCAGGGTGCCGGAGAGAAGGGCGTGGCTCATTCCCGGCATTCCCCTCCCTGGAGACCGGCCATCTGCCCGGCTGCCACCAAAAGCAGCTGATCCGACGTGGCTGCCATGTGAGAGGGCCGCAGCAAAGCACTGCAGTCCTGCGTGCCACTGCACTAATGGCCAGTGTCCAGTTTCGGAGCTAATTCTGACCACTGCCCACACAGCCTAATTTCTGGGTTTGGTACCACCCTGACACATGGGCAGGGCCTGGTCCACCTGTGCAGATAAATGTGCTGGCTCTTTCCTTCACCCCTGATTCCCAACTTGGGGAAACAAAATCACACTAATGCTAAGTAATTCGATTTTAAAATGCCAAAGAACATTTTCGGTATGAAATAACAGCATTAACTGTTTATCACTGCACTAAGTATGCATTTCATTTATGTTTGATCATCTGTGAAGAGCATAGTCCTTCCAGGTGAAATGATCTGCAGTCACCCTAATCAGAAATTCTTTTTTTTTTGGTCTAAATCACATTTTAAATGTTAATGACAATGGATAACAAACTTGTTCATAGCCCCCTTAGTGACTTATTTAAATACATTAATTGAAGTAAATTTATAGCTAATTTATGGTATATGTTTAATACTGGAGACCCAGACTGAGTAATTATCACAGCATTTTTCTTTAATACATGCACTTGTTTATTACTGAATTTAACGACAGCAGTCCTAAAGGTTGTTTAAATTAATAGACAAAGGAAAATGGGTGATTGTACTGCGATATCTGCGTAATAATCATACATCAAAATGTTCGCTATAGCACATACAAAAAGCATTTGTTGCTGAAGAATGAACACAGAGAATTGTGTCTTGTTTCAGACTTGCTCGTAACCTAAGCAGGGTGAATTTTTCCCGTAATTCGACGTCCGATTAATTTACGGCATGATTTTTCTTAACCGACAGACGACGAAGTAAAAATTAAATGCATTCAAAGTTTCTGTCAACAATACCACAGTTAAACGTGATTGCTTTTTTTGTAAATATTTTATTGTAAAAAGAAAACTCGCAGTATGGGAGCGTTATGGGTGTGGATCTCGGTTTATATGTGAGGTTAGACCCCATCTTGATGGAAGAGGCTTCGGAGATCTCCCCTGGGAGCCGGGTGAAGTGCTCATCTGTCAGTGCTTGCCGTGGTATCGCTCTGGTGTCACACTGATCATGGCACATTAAGGCTGGCTGTGCTCTGGGTGGGGACTGGCCGGCAGCAGACTTTTGTCCAGAGTGTGGAGTCTTAATGTTAATGGAGGGTGTTTGTCCTCCAGGCCAAAATAACAGTTTGATCCAAAGACTTCAGGCGACGAGAGAACATAATTCACTTTATACGTCTTATCTGGCTGCAACCAACACCCTTGTTTAGCATTAACACTGCATTTCTCTACGTTTTGTATCTTGTGTGATTTATTTGAATTGTGTGATCTTTCTAATCGCACCGCAAAGCAAAATCTGTGCAGCGCGCTCATGCGCGACATGGATGGAAAACAGTTATGTTAAAATAAAACTTACCCAACACGCCGGCTGACTGACAGGGAGGAATTATAGAAAGAGAAGAACCAAATTAACCTGTCACTTGTTACACAAATTTACTTTAAACTCGCCCTCTGTTGTAGCTGTCCTTTGATCATTCTGGTAACTGGCTGCCGGATGACTGCTTCCGCTTCGTCCATATGGACGAGTAAGGAATCCTGAGTGACAGTCTGCCATTACAAATGTGTGTTTTCCCCACTCTCTCTTTTTTTGAGTCTATAAAAATAGTGGTTTAGGTTAAAGTGAAAAGTTACTGTCTGGGCTGCTTGCGGTTAATGGGGCTGTCAGCACCGTGTGACGCCAGGCGCCTCAGGACGCTCTCTGGCCGTATCAAACGAGTTGTGAGTGCTGAGACGACGTCCGCTTGCAGGTACAGGCGTGAGGTACTGAGCCCCTTAATGGGTGTCCGTCTCCCTCCAAAGTTGACTGTTTATCAGTGGTCCCTGGGCAGCTACCATACATTTTTGCTGTGTCACATCCCAAATATGATTTTTCTCTCATCCTTTTTTTTTTTTTTTACTTTTCGCGTACACCTTCTTGGAGCTCGTTTAGTATCTGGCACAACATAAATGCTAATCAGTTCAGGTCTGCCAGCTCCATTGCTTCATATCAGGAAGGAGCACTTCCCAGCTTTAAAGAGCACCTCTGGTGGGTACGAGATCCCGCAGGATTGTGAGTGAGATGTAAATTAGCATCAGATAACTGCAAGCGCCTCTTCCTGGGCGGCATGTGTAATATTGTCTATGCCCGTAAAATGTTTTAATTGTTTAGCCTTTATTATCTGAGGCTTAAGTGCTCCATGTTTGTTTGTTTGTTGTTTTACTTAATAATAATCCGCCCTCAGGTCATGCAGGGTGTGTGTGAAACGGGCTCCTCGGGCATCGCCAGGGGCTTGTATCAGGAAGCAGGATTTCTTGCTTAGTTGGATAACTTGTCGGATTTAATCTAGTCTGGGCTTAACGTAAGCGAACAAAGAGAAAAGTCTGTTTAAACTGCGGTGCCTTAAATCTGACTAGTCCGGCTAAGCAAAGAAGTCCTGCTTTGAGATGCAGGCTCCTTAGCTCAGGGGTCTCCAACTCCGGTCCTGGAGAGCTACCGTCCAGTAGGTTTTCTATCATACCCGGCTTCTGATGAGCCGCACCTGTTCTCAGGTAAATACCAGGAGCAGGTGTGGCTCATCAGAAGCCAAGTGGGACAGAAAACCTACTGGATAGTAGCTCTCTAGGACCGGAGTTGGAGACCCCTGCCCTAGCTGGACCGAGGAGGCTTGAGGTTCCTAGTCTGCCTTTATAAGAACATATTTTTCATGGGGTCAGTTAACACAGAGAAGGGCAGCAAAAGAATCAATATGAATTACAAGCTGCAGTGTTTCACCCTCAGAAGCTGACTTTTTATTTGCAAATAAAAATTTGTTGGTGAAATGAGAGGTGGAGATCATCATAATTGTTTGTGACAGTTCCGAGGGAGGGGGGAGGCATTTGTTTGTGGGATGGGAGGTGGGACGGTGTTAGTCTGTCCTCTCGGATCCTGATACCTTTAAGTGAGTTCTCAGTATGGCTGCTCAACAAATCATAAAAAAAATTGTGATCTTGATTCATATCTCTTTGCGATCTCCTTTCTGAATTTCAATGGTTCTTCTGCATTGTATTACATCAGCTGGATCAAAACAAGGGCTTCTGCTTTTCCCCAGAGTCTCAAGCGTTCCATAATTCTGCATTCTCTTTAAAAGGCGCTTTCCCACCTCACCAGGTACCATCTTGTGCATGTGCAGTTCTTGCTTCGCCTGTCAGCTTGATTAAGATCAGACTTTTTCTTAAGTTTAATTCTGTATACAGACATTATAGTGCAGGGATTTGGTTTCGCTAAAACATTTGCAGTCTCATAGGGGGGAAATAGTTTTGCAATTTTAATCATTTCTTTTCGAGACTGTAGTGTATGTTTAGAAATCAGGTGAAAGTTCAGCTCTGCTGCTTTTGTATGAGCTGGGATCTCTTGGGTCTTTGCATCCATTATTATTATCATTTATTGTTATTAACCTCGTTTATCATTGTTTTCAGAATTCACAAATGTTTGAAAGACTGTGGTTGTATTACGTTTTATAGGCAGGCTATTTGCATAACCGTTCGACAAAGAAAGTACCAAAATTACCCCACCGGCACGTTTGGTACGGCTGTTTTGGTTACCCTAATTGAATTTAGCGTTTCCTTCCAGTTAGAAGTAGATATGCCGGTCCTGGATCAGTCATATGTTTGGCACAGTCATGTTATGTTGTGTTTCCTTGCGCAGTTTAAGAAATAAAATCGTTACAGAGAATCATGATCTCAATTCTAAACAAAAGAATTGTGATTCACTTTCTTTGTTTCTTTTTTTGTGCCGTCCTAGTGCTCAACATCAGTCTCCCTTCAGCTTCTCTACAATCTTTTATTTACGGCGTGATCGTCATTTCAGGGCACTGATTGCAGTATCTGTGCCGAGCAGCTGGGGGGGTGGGGGGGGTCCTACTTCTCTGATTCTACGGTATCACTTTCAGGTGGTTTCACATGGTGGGGGGGGGGGGGGGGGGGCAGGAGGGAAGCATGTCATCAGATCTGAATTTATATAACCGTTAGAGAATCTTGCCCTTTTGATTAGGTCTGTGTTGTGATCCTTAGCTATATTTGGTTTTCCCCCCACAGCATTTGGCAGCACCTCCACGCCTTTGTTCGGCCAGCAAACCAGCGGCGGCAGCGTCTTCGGACAGGTGAGCCCCCCGCTCCCAGCCCCCCCCCAGCTGTCCCCTTGTCGGACGGGCTGGCACCCCACACCACTACAGAATCCTTCCGAAGACACAAAATTTAAATCTCCCCCACCTTCCCCCGACGACAATCTGTTCAAAGCACTGTGTGTCCTGCATCCGGGGCGTAGTGCTGATCTCTGTCCTGCGTCCGGGGCGTAGTGCTGATCTCTGTCCTGCNTCCGGGGCGTAGTGCTGATCTCTGTCCTGCGTCCGGGGCGTAGTGCTGATCTCTGTCCCAGCACATTAAGTCTGCTGAGAAGGTGAAGCTGTCACAGATTCACAGGCAGTCTTCCTTGTGACTGTGTTCTTGCGCCTGCGCTGTGTGAAAACTGCGTCTTTGTCATCTCTTGTTGATGCTGGTCTTGGCACCGTCCGACTGCTTTGGCAGCTCTGTATAGCATTAGAGACTTCAAGAAGATGTGACCTTTATTTTCTTTTCCCTTCTAGCACCTTATTGGTTTATTGCTCTTTCGATTATTGGATGTGTCTGGTGCAGTTTGGTCCCTTCAGCTTCAGTTCAGGCATTTATTTTGAAGTAGGACCTCTGCCCACCGTCATGTGTTTTTTTTCTCTCTCTCTCTCTCTCTCTCTCTCTGCCTGTCTGTGTATCCTGTGCGTGTCAGTCGGCCACGTCCGGAGGTGGCCTTTTTGGGCCTGGAGCCAACAGCGCCGCCGGGACGACTGCAGGGTCCGGGGGCTTCTTCAGCGGCCTCGGGGGCAAGCCGAGCGAGGACGCGGCTAACAGAAACCCATTCGGGTCGACCGCCACAGATTTCGGCCGATCGAATCAAGCAGGTAAGGATGGGGCCATTTAGAAAGTAATTAATGTATGACTCATACCTCCTCATGAAGAGACCTTCACAGATACGGTAAGGTCCCCATTAAATACTTCTCTTAAAATCCTCCACGGACAGTTTTGGAGAGAATAAAAAATGCTGCAGCCACCCAAATACCTTGATCTTTGTATTGATGCTGGAGGCAGAATGACGACCTAAACATCAAGCTCAAGTCATGCCCCACCCCCCCCCTCCCCAAACACACGCACAGTCACGCATGCACTCGTGGGCTTTGCATTTTTAATGCCCTGCATCTGGCAGTTGCGCAAGCAAAAGCGTTTGTTTGACATCCAGTCTGGTTCACAAGTTCACTGTCTTCTCCCCTCTGTGCCTGCTAAATGTCATTTTGGAAGCTGGTAAGACAGATAAACCAGCAGCGCTGCTGGTTAGGATGTGACAGATGCACATGGGCAGCACACTTCTTCTTCATGGTCTTCTGATCTTCACACAGAAATGAAATGACAGGGAATAGTTTTCTTTGTGGCAGTAAATGGGTGCATCGCACGGGCATCTCTAAAATCATGGGTTCCTTAGAGAACCATAACACAGGTCTGTGAGGCTCTGAACAGAAATGTCGGGTTACGCGTTGCTGCTGCCGCTTCCCTACTTGGCACCCCCCCCCCCCCCCGTCACGACTCCTCAGCGCAGAGCGCCGCCTGCCGCCCCCCCCCCCACCTTCTCGCCATCTCCCCACGTCGCCACGGTGTCAGTCAACAGTTTCCGTCTTCCTGGTCTGTTATCTGATTCCCGTGACCAAGGCGCTCATGCGCTGGCCGGCTCTCTCTCCCCCCATCCTGTAGTAGATTTCTGTTTGCTCCATCCCCCTTGCCCCAGCCTCGCATGTAAATCGCCCCCCCCCCGTGTTGATAGTCACGCTGTTCTGCTTAATGCTTCCGGTTGCAGTTTGCATTAACAATTTAATAGGTTTCTGCAAAGGGGTTATTGTGTTGTGGACTAAATCATTTCTGGGACTTTGTGGAGCATGCATTTAGCCCAAGTTTGGACAAGATGATCGCATCTGTCCCAGACCTGGTCAGTCTTCCTTAATTCTCATTTAATACCTAGGTCATCGTCTGGCTCTGGTATTGTTTATATCGATAGCTGGGTTTGTTCCCCGCTCCACGTACACGATTCCCATGAGGGTCACTCCCGTGAAATGAGTGTGGCTGTCTGGTTTGTCCCTGATGCTATAATTTCCCCAGCAAGGTTGTTCTGACAGTTCTTTCTGGAAGCCAATGTTTGATATACAGTTTAATTTTTCTTCGTTCTCTTGTGCCAGTGTTCCTGTTCCCCATAGTGTCGTTGGGCAGATGTCAGTCAGTCCGGCACATTAACTGCTCCTCCTTAGTAGCTGGGTTTTTTTTTCTGCTTTTATCAAATTATAATCCTTAAGAAGTCTAGACTGAACCGGTTCGGCTGCACATAGCTGTTCCATTGGTTTAAGGATGGGTCCCGAGCTCTTTGGATTTAAAATAGTTACAACAGTTCATTCTGCAGCGCCTGTTGTAAATAATGCAGCAGCCCTGCTAGCAGTGCGATCAGTCAGTGACTGATTTGGTTTGTGTGAATCCATGTACTATACAAGGGCTTTTTAAAAAGGGGGCTGTAATTATGCATTCACTGGAGCAGACTGTTGCTTAGGATTGGTGATGTGGTGTTTCATAATACCAAGAATGCAATGATCATACTTGTGGTCTTGATAAGACTGATTTTGCTAACTTGCCTTCCTAGAACAAACTTGGCACGATGAATCGTGGGCTTGGCCTCGTTAGGTGAGGATGCAACTGATGCATCCTTGATATTTGGGGCAAGAATGACATCCAGGCATTTTTACCTTCCTCTGTACTTCTGTTCTTGAGCATTGAATCTGGTCTCCGGCAATGGAAGATGGTATGTGAGAACACAAGTACGCATATTGAGAAACACTCCTGGTCTCGGAAATATAAGGGCCCCCTCCTCGTTTGCGTATTTAAATGAAGCTGAGTGAGATGCCCCCTCCTGACATGGGATGCTGGGGTCTGGTGGCTGAAAGGTACCTCCTTTCTTCCTCCTCAGGGTCCAGTAGCCTGTTTGGGGACAGCGGGGCCAAGACCTTCGGCTTTGGCACGTCCTCCTTCGGCGAGCAGAAACCCGGCGGCTCGTTCAGCACAGGCAGTGGCAGCGTGGCGTCCCAGGGCTTTGGCTCCTTCAGCACCCCCAGCAAGACGGGTACCCGGCCGGGCGTAGGGTCGAAAGCGGGACCGGGCGCGGGGCCTCCTCACCGGCCGGCGCAGCGTGCCAATGCCACGGGATTCCCAAGCACTCGCTACCTCTCTAGGTGTCACTGCTGATGCAACAGTAGCCAGCCTCCTGCAAGCATAGGAAATGCCGTCATAGCGTCCCGAGTCAGGAGAAATGGCTGTTTACGGACCCGTCTCCATCCTCAGCAGTTAAGATACCTTTTGGAGTTTCTCAGAGAGGCGGGGTTTCTGATCTCGGTGTGTGGTTATAATACAGTACCAGTCAATAGTTTGGACATGCGGTGTTGCCTGCAAAGGAGAGTGCTAGTGTCGCATCACATGACCTGCCACCTGACCTAAACACAGTAGAGATGGTTTTAGAGGAGTTTGACCAGAGAGCGAAGGAAAAGCGGCCAATGAGAGCTCAGCATATATGTGGGAGCTCCTTCAGGACAGCTGGACAAGCATCCTAGGAGGCCACCTCATGAAACTGGTGTAGGTCAGCCAGTCCCTGGGGCACCTGGGGTTAAGGGTCCAGTGGTAGGATCACTCTGCTGATCTAGGGATTTGAACGGGATCCGAGTCCCCACCCGCAAAGTGCCCCCCCCCCCCCCCC